TAATCCCACCGTGTCACAGCTTTACTGCGGGAAATTTTATTCACTGTACAACGTTTATACCTCAATCAAATCTCAATCATTTCTTCGTCATTAATATTTCTGACGTTATGGTATTCAATTAAATGTTTTCTTACATTTCTAAAAGAATATGACATTTTGGGGTGCTCCTTTGCAAAACATACTTTACATTTAAACTTGTTATTTTCTCGATAACCACCAAGTACTGCACCTTGCACAGTTGTTGTTGGTCCGCCATTGTTCAATAAATATGTAGCTTCGCACCAAATTAGTGGCATTAAAGTTTTCATAAGATAATTTTCATCCCATAGATTATATGGATTGCCTTCATGAAATGGTGGATTCCTATAAGATGGACACCAAGGTAAATATTTTTCAATAATAAACCTATTTTCATCTTGTTGTATATTAACATTGGCATTCGAATCAAATTGGAAGAAATATTGATCGTACAACATGTAATATTCATCCGTCGAAGATGACGGCGTTGGCATTTCATAATTTAAAGAAAATTGGTCCATATCAACATCTTCCATTTGGTCTGTGTAAAAATAATCTGAATAGATAGGTGCTGAATTAGATGTAGATGCATAATCAAAAGAAAAATTCGATGTATCGTGCGATATTAGGGAGTCGATTGACATTATGGAATTTGTATCTGCGTAAAGATAATATTAATTTATTTATTTTTTTAAAAAAAAAAAAAAAAGGTAAAAAAATCTCCCTTTGCTTACCTGTATAAGATGTGTTATTGTCATTAGAATAAGAAAAATCGGAAATTTGAGTTGGCATAGAAAAGTAAATGGACATATTGGGTATAGTTATGTTGTCAATATTCATAGGAGTGTCGTCAGATGTTGAGATTAAGTTATCAATATTCATAGAAGCATTATTGGAAGTTGAGGTTACGCCTTCAATCTTATCAGAAGTGGTATCTGATATTGAAGTTGTATTTTCAACTTTTATATTTGTAAACTCAGTAAATGGTGTTGTATCTTCAACTTTTATATGTGAAAAGTCGGTTATTGAAGTCGTACTTTCAGATTTGATGGGGGTAGTTTCATTCGTCATATTATTATCAGCGGAAGCGGAAGTGGAAGTGGAAGCTGAACTGGTTGACGTATTAACTGCAGCTGAAGTGGATGTTGAAGAAAATGCTAATTCGGCTGCACTAATTTCAATTTGTTCCATTTTTTTCTCAGTTTCTGGATCAGGAATCCATTGTTTAGCTATTTCATAAATATCAAATTGTCTCATCTGGATGATGGTATCTTTTGGAAGAATTTTTTCTTTTTCAATGCGCAGCTGTCTCTTCTTTTCAGATAATTCATTATATTCTTTTATTAATTTCTTTTTCAACAAAGCCCAAGCACGATCCGTGAAAGGTTGTGGAGATTTAAGATTAATATATTTCGTGGCGTTCGTGTAAGCATTAGTTTCCATGAGGGTATCAGAATATTTGGCAATTCCATATTCATTTTTTTCTGATTTCATCTCCAAAATTCTGGATTGAATTTGTAAAGCTCTCTCACTTCTCTTTATCGAGTTTTCATGCATCTTATTTCTTAATTCTTTGTCAGTTTCCAACTTTCTCTTGACAGCTTCCTTCATTTTGGCATCACCTTCTTCTCTCTTTTTTCTAATCCACTCAATCCTAAGAGTATGAGGAATCTCTTTAAATTCTTCATAAGCAGCTAAATAATCCTTAGTCCAATAAAGGCTCGAAGGTCTATTCTTTGTTCCTCTGTCCCATGCCCTTCTATGCCAAGATGGAATGTAAGCCAATCCCGCCAACACATCATCAGCTCTTACATTTTGTAGTTTAAAAAAATCTTGTTTAATATCTTCTTTTCTAAAAAGATTTTTAAAAATGTACGTGTATAATATATATATATGTATTTAAATAAAAAATAAAATGTAAAAGCAAATAAATCATACTACATCATATCTAATAGGTTACCTTAAGGTTCTTTCCTTTAAACAATCCTCGCAGCAGCGGACAAGAAATTCCCAATAAACTTTCCGAATTTTTGTTTTACCACAAAATTGGCATCCCCTCTCCAAGACCAATCTCACATACTGCCTCTCTGTCATTCCATCTGGAGGTGGCAATTGTAAGTACGGCAAAAACATTTCCCTGGATGCTTTCCAAATTTCTTGAGTTGTCATTGAGGTTTCTGCACTCAAGAATCCATTAAATCTTTTACATGCTCGAGCCAAAGATAACAAGTCAACGGGAGGAAGGTTTTGGCATATATTTATAAACATTTCTGGGGGAAGCGTGATAAATAAACACGGCCCTGTCGCCCGCTGCTTTCTACCTCCAGCGCCTTGAATATTCCTCCGGACCATATTGTAAATATCTTTATCTTTTAAGTTATTTGTACAAAAAAAAATGAAAAAAATTTGTCAGAGATAAAAGAGGTGCCTTAAAAAAAAAAAAAATGAAAATGAAAAAAAAAA